GCTGCTATAGAAATGGAGGAAAGCCTCATGCCAAGATAGTCACCTACATCCTGCCTCACTTCAGGAAGGTGGAAGATGCATGTGCCTCTTTTCTCTCCAGGAAGAAATGGCTTTGCCTAAAGAATTGAAGAGAGGACCCCAGATCTCAGTGAGACGTAAGAAGCAAACATACCTGATTTTAAAGAAATGACCTCATGGAAAGGTTAGAAGAAAGAGAATGCTCCCACATGAGTGACTACAGAATGCTCCGTGGCAGGCCCCTTCAATTCATAGATGGCATGACACACCCATGCTATACCATCCAAGCTGTCTAGGCACACACCAATTAACTTCTCTTACCTGGCCTGAGTTTCTTCCACAGTCTAAGGAGGGGGTTGAATCAGATGGTGCCAGAATCCTACACACCAAAGGTCCAAGACCCAGACTTCAGGGACAGTCAGGGACATTAATCAGAAGTCAAAAGTTACAGATCCATAACCTGACTAATCAGAGGCAGGGTTCTGACTTCCCATTTCCTGGACCACTCCCACCCTTAGATAACCAATGTAGAGGCACCAGAATCCTGGGTTTGGAGAGCTAGAGGAGCCTGGTGTGGCCCCAGAAGAAGGGTGGGAGGAGGACAAAGGCTCAGGATGAGCTGGGGAAGGTGAGGAAAAGAGGCCCTGGGCTGTATTAGGGAGAAAAACTACAAAAAGGGATGATCCCACGGCTTGGGGCTAAGAGAAGGAAAAGTGCTCTGCTCTGTCCTCCTTGTGGCTGCATGAGGGAGCTGGTGCCCAAGATAAGGAAGGAGACAGGAAGAGACCACCTGGCTGCCCTGGACAAATTCAAGTCACCAGAGCCTGATGACCCACCTTCTTAGAGCAAAGAGCTGTCAGATGTGATTACTGCTAGTGAGCTTGAGGGGGTTGCAGAGAATGGGGCTGGGGCGTGGTCAGTCAGTGAGTATTTATTAAGTGCTTGCTGCATCTAGACACTGTATAAGCTGTGGGGACACAAAGAAAGGCCAAAACGTGGTCCTTGCTCTCAAGAAGCTCACATTCTAATAAGGGAAGAGCGCATAAAGAGCTATGCACGTACAAGATACAGATACAAAGTGTCTGGAAGTTGATCTGCGTCATTCCAGTTTTCAAAAATGAGAGCACCTTCCTTCCAGGGTTGTGAGGAGAAACTGAGAGCATGTTTGCAAAGTTCTCTACAAGTCTCAAAGTGCCATGCAAATTCTAGCCATCATCATTCTTGGTACTAATTATCAGGTCAGAACAATGTCATAGCTTCTCTAGATGTTATCAAAGCACTAGACAGTCACTCATGCCATTTTATGGAAAAGAGAGTAAGATGTGAACCACACCATCAAATACTGAAGTGACTTCGGAACTGTTTTGCTAGCTGGACCCAAAGGGCAGCTATGACTATGAATTTGGAAGGGTGTCTCCAGTCAGGTAGCCCACAGGACACACACACACTCACACAACACAGTCTCACACACACTCACAGACATACTCATATACACTTACACACATATACACTCACACACAACATACACAGACACACATTCACAGACATTCACACAGCACCCACTCACATTCTCGCTCACTCACAATACACTGTCTCACATACACACACACACACTCACACACACAACACACTCACAGAAACACTCACACACACATACTCACATTCACACTCACTCACAATACACTCTCACACACACACTCACACAACACATTCTCCCACACTCACACACTCACAGACACACTCACACACACATACTCACATTCACACTCACTCACAATACACTCTCACACACTCACACAACACATTCTCCCACACTCACACACTCACAGACACACTCACACACACCATACACATACATTCACACTCACTCACAATATACTCTCTCACACACACTCATACACACTCACACACACATACACTCACACACAACATACACACATTCACAGACATTCACACAGCACCCACTCACACACTCACTCACTCACAATACGCTCTCACACACACACATACACACTCACACACACAACACACTCACAGACACATTTGTACACACACACATACTCACATTCACACTCACTTACAATACACTCTCACACATACATTGATTCACCTGCCTGAGGTGGGATGTCATGAGGTTTCTTCCACAAAGTTTCAGGCCCCTTTCTCCATCACCACTCGTATTTGATTTCTGCTTCCGTCGTTACTCTGTTGGGTACATTTAGAAAGAAATCTGTGAATTGTCTCTCTCTTCTGTGATTTTGTTGTTACTCTCCTAAGTTACTGTGTTTTTGCCCTTCTTGTGCTTCTGTTCTCAGGAGAGTTCAAGAAGCAAGTGGTTTGTTCCTGTCTGTTTTTCTGTCTGGAAGCATTCCTGACAGCTTTTTTCACTGAATATTTAGCTTTTTCATTAAGGAGAAGCCTCAAGCATGCATCGTGTGTCATTTGGGGTCGTCCCTCAATCTCCTTTGCTCTTAGGAGCCTTTTCTATCCCCTCCTGTGGTTTCAGGTGGGTGCAGAATAGCTCTGTGTCTCTTGAATTTCCTTTCTTTTATATATAAGTGGCTTTCTCCTGGTCACCTGCAGAATTGGTTGCTTGCTAGTGGGATTGTTACTCAAATTATCATTTAAATTTAGCACCCTGTGTCTTGGCATGTGCAGCACAGGGTTGTGCTGTTTGTGGTTTTTTTCCTTTCTGAAGGTGATCTGTGGATTCTTCTGATTGTCACCTTGTTTGGCTTTTGTTAAAAGATTCTGGTCAGTATTCTTGCATTACGGTATTAATGGTTTTTTAAAAACTTGTTATGTTCTCATGGGAGCAGCTAGGTGGTGCTGTGGACCAGAGCATGAGGCCTGGAGCCTGGAGACCCGAGTCCCAATTTGGCCTCAGACACTTACTAGCTTTGTGGCCCTAGGCAAGCCATTTAACCTCTGCCTTCCTCAGTTTCCTCAATTATAAATGGAAATAATGATAGCATCTTCCTCCCAGAGTTATTGTGAGGAGAAAATGGGATAATGTTTGTAAAGTGCTTGACACATAGCAGGTACTCGTTAAATGCTTGTCTCCCCTTCCCCATTCTGAGCCAGCTGAGCATTCACACAAGGAAGAAATGGGAAGAGGTTTGGGTCAGATTGTATCAGACCTTGAATGTCAAGCCAAGGAGCTTTACCCTGTGGACAGTGGGGAGCTTGGGTTTTCATCTTGACATCTCCCCTTAAATGGCTGAGATGCCAGGAGAGTGAACCTGCCTCTGTCCAGGACAGCCCTTGGCCTCAAACATCATAAAGGACAGTGTAAGGGCCAGTGAGGTCATCCAGGTCAGGAGGTGAAAAGCCAAGCCCTTGAATCCCCGGAGCACAGAGACGTCCGCTTGGCCAAAGGAGAGCCCATGGTCCCTTCCATCTGACAGCTGTTGAGAGATTTGTGGGATGAGGGAGCCCCCCAGAGGCCTCGTTCTAGAACTGCAGCAAATCCCAAATTTCAGAGAAAGCCTTTAGAACTGCAGCAAAGGGATCATTTGAGACAAGCCCTCCTGGCCTATGGATGAGGAAACTGAGGCACAAAGAGGGGCAGTCCATGGCCAGGACACACAGCAAGCTAGGAACTGCACATTCACAGATGTCCCTTTATTCTCCTGTGGTTGGATTGAGCCATCTAGAGAATTTGCTAAGGCAAACACAGATTGGCTTTTTGTGTTTTAAAGGAAGGGGAGATGGAGGGAGGGAAGGAGGGAGAGAGGGATGGAAGGGAGGAAGGAAAGAACAAAGAAAGGAAGGAAATGATGAAGGGAGGGAGGAAATTAAGGAGGAAGGGAGGGAGGGGGAGAATGAGAGAGGAAGGGAGGGAAGAAAGGAAGAAGGAAGGAAGGAAGGAAGGAAGGAAGGAAGGAAGGAAGGGAGGGAGGGAGGGAGGGACGGAGGGAGGAAGGAAGGAAGGAAGGAAGGAAGGAAGGAAGGAAGGAAGGAAGGAAGGAAGGAAGGAAGGAAGGAAGGAAGGAAGGAAGGAAGGAAGGAAGGAAGGAAGGAGGGAGGGAGGAGAGAGGGAGGGAGGAAGGAAGGGAGGGAGGGAGGGAGGAAGGAAGGAAGGGAGGGAGGAAGGAAGGAAGGAAGGAAGGAAGGAAGGAAGGAAGGAAGGAAGGAAGGAAGGAAGGAAGGAAGGAAGGAAGGAAGGAAAGGAGGGAGAGAGGGAAGGGTGAAGGAAGGAAGGAGGGAGGGAGGAAGGGAGGAAGGAAGGGAGGGAGAGAAGGAGAGAAGGAGAGAGGAAGGAAGGGAGGGAGGGACAGAGAGAAGAGGGATGGAAAGAATGAAAGAATAAAGGAAAGAAGGAAGTGATGAAGGGAGGGAGGAAGGGAAGAAGGAAGGAACAAAGGGAGGGGAGGGAGGGAGACCAGTTAGGAGGCTTTGCAAAGAAGCTAGATGAAAGGTGACAAGGGCCTGAACCAGGATGGTGACTTGAGTAGAAAGAAGGGGAAGGGGATATGAAGGCAGAAACATAGGATTTGACAGCTTACTGCAAATGGGAAGAGGGGACAAAGGAGAGGGAAACATTGAGGAGGACTCCCAGATTATAAGCCCAGGTGAAAGGCAAGGCCCTTGACAAAAATAAGCAAGTCTGGAAGGTAGGCAGGTTTTGGAGAACAAGAGTATGTTCTGAACATGTTTAATTTGAGACGCTTCCAGGACACTCATGTGAAGACGTCCAGTGTGTACTTGGTCTTATGGGAGGGGTTCAAGAAGGGATGATGTATAAAGGTGATAGGGTGGGAGCTGATGCCCACATGACAAAAAGAGAGAGAAGAGAATGGGGTCCCTTGGGAGACATGTAGTGAATAGAGAGTGTGCCCCAGGTGTGTAGGGAGGTCTAAACTTGGTGAGGGGCCTGTGGCAGAAGAGGCCTTTCCAGCCCTCTCTCCCCTACCTTTCTCAAGGGAGATTCTCATCCTGCCAGGAGGGAAAACAGGAGGCTAGGGCAGAGGCCACGGCTCTGCTCTCCTCAGAGAGAGGTACCAGGGTACAAGTATATCTATCTGGTCCCTTAAATATTGTTTATCTAGGGGATGTGACTGGGTTCTATCTAACTCCTGATCACATTATCATTTCTGGGGGAAGGGAAATACTCCAAACTTTGACCCCTTTCCCACCTAATTCCAGATCTACAATGAACACACAGCAAATGGTAAAGAAGCCTGGGCAGGTTGGTGGGAGCCAGTGCCTAGAGAGATTAAAGATGAAGGGAGTGGGGATGGTAGAAGCGACAAACAGCAGGTGATTGGGTTAGGGGCACAGTTTGAGGGCAGGAAAACGGCCACAATTTCATCAGAGAGTGGCGCCATGGAGGAAGGGAGGAGAGATACTGCTGAAGGGATTGAGGTGTGGCGGTGGGAAGCAGAGAATTAGTGACCATCTCAGCGCTGATGATCTTCACGTCTGCCTATCCAGCCCCAACCTCTCTGCTGACCTCCAGCCTCCCATCTCCAACTGCCTTCCAGACATCTCAGACTGGGTGTCCAGTAGACTGATGGATGGATAGGTAGGTAGATAGATGATGAATGGATGGATGTATAGAGAAATGATGAATGGAGTTTTAAGGTGATGAGGTGGAGTTGCAAGGCTTATGGGATCCTATAGGATCATGAGGTTTCCCCAAGATGTACACATATATGTACTATGTATATATGTGTGTGTTTAGAGTATATATACATGTATGTGCATGTACATACAGGTATTGTATATGTATAAGTATGTGCATATGTTACATTACATCTGTTATATAACTTGTTCATTCATCCAGTTCTCAGATTCCCATTCTTTGCTACCTCAAAAAGAGCTACTAATTTTCTTTGCACCCTTAGAAATTTTTCTTTTAGGATTAGTCCCTCTTAATCAATGCTCTCTCTAATTCCCCCTCACCCTTTTCTCCTTTCCTCTTATTTCTTTTTTAAGTGAAATGTGTTTCTGTGCCCAAGTCTATGTTGTATGTGTCTATTCTTCTTTCTTTTGACCAGTTCAGCTGAGTGTCCACGACTCCATTACCTCCTCCACCTTATCTGTGTTGATATCCACTTGTGTACCCCATCACATGCACTAATTTCCCCTAATTTTTCCTTTCCTCTACCTCCTCCCACAGTGCATTCCTCTTCCCCTCTCCTTTTCTTAAGATCGTCATCCTTCTCTTAAGAGCCGCTCCCAAACCTTGGCCAATTGGACTCCCTTCTCTGAGTCCTGATGGTGATGGGGCTCAAAGGGGACATATGCATTACCTCCCTGTGTTTGAATGTTAGCAGTTTATCCCTGTTTGGTTGTCATTTGTTCAACATTTACCTTTTTATGTCAATCTTCACTCCTGTGTTTGAACTTCAGAGTTCCTCTACAACTCTGGTATTTTCCTCCTGCAAGCTTGGAAGCCCTTTATTTCATTACAAGTCTTTTTTTTTCCCCTGTGGGATTATACTCAGTTTTGATTCTTGATTATACATCTTTGGTTTTTGTGATATTATATTCCAAGTTCTCCTCTCCTTCAAAGTGGTAGCTGCTAAATCATGGGTGATCTTGACTGTGGCTCCTCAGTACTTGAAATTTTCTATTTGTCCACTTGCAGTTTTTTTTTTTTGACCTGGAAGCTCTAGATTTTGGTTATGATGATCCTGGGAGTTTCTACTTTGGGGTTTCTTTCAGAAGGTCACCTGTGGTTTTCTTCTATTTCTGCTTTGCCCTTTTGTTCTAAGAGATGTGGGCAATTTCTTCTTAACAGGATGTCTAGGCTCTTTTTGGGTCATGGTGTTCAGATAGTTCAATAAGTCTTAATTTGTTTTCTCCCTGATTTATTTTCTAGGTTGGTTGTTTTTCCTATGGGATATTTTACATTTTCCTCCAATTTTTCTCAGCCTTTTAATATTTCTTGCTGCCTCATGGAGTCATTGGCTTCCCTTTGATCTATTCTAACTTTCATGAAGTTTGTTGTTTGGGCAGGTACTTCATTTCTCCCAGGAATTCTAGTTGAGTTTGTGTCCAAGCTGTGTTTTTCTCTGAGGCTTTGTTCATAAATGTTTTGGAATCATTCTCTTCCTTTGTGTCCCTGTCACCATAATAGCTCAATCAATACAGAAAGTAGAGGAGGTGTCGGAGCAGTGAACACTCTCAGCTGAACTGGTCAAAAGAAGGAAAAATAGAAACACACACAAGAGTTGGGCACAGAAACACATTTCACTCAACAGGGAAATAGGAGGGAAAGAGGAGAAGGGTGAGGGTGAATTAGAGAGAGCATTGATTAAAAGGTATTAATCCTAAGAGAAAAAATTCTAGGGTGCAAAAAAATATTTGTAGCTCTTTTTGAGGTAGCAAAGAATGGTAATCTGAGAAATGGATGAATGAACAAATTATATAATAGACTTAAGGTAATAGATACATAGACTTGAGTGCAGACAAAATGGCCATCTGGTTTATCTGAGCTCTTCATGGAGAGTTAGAGGACCTCACTTTGACTCCTTGCTCTGCTCCTTCCTGGGTGGCCTTGGACAGTGACTTCACTTGAAATTTGTGCTGAGCCTCAGTTTTCTCATCTGTCAAGTGATGACATTGGACCAGGCAATGACTAAGGTCCCTCTAAATCTACCATCCTAAGGACTAGCTCTGGATTTGTCACCCTCCCCTCCACTTAGCTCCCTCCTGTCCACCTCCAAGCACCTGTCCAGGTTCCTTTCTCTAGGTGTGACTCTCAGCTGACTGGCTTTTCATCCCTGCATCACAGGGTGTTGACATTTCCCAAGTGGCCTCTGACAGAGGAGCCTTCCACACTGAAGGCACAAAGTCTAGTGGTGACAGGTGGGCTGCTGGGAGGTGGGCAGGGGGCAGGGGAGAGGGGTTACCTTTTTGGGCAGGGAGATCCCACTCCACAGCCTCCCTCAGCCCCACCACCTAGGCAACCACCCAGGTCCCAGGCACAGCCTTAACTGAACTCAGCAGGGTGGCCCCAAAGCCTGTTTTTCAACTTGGGTCATCTGGGTCTTAAACTAAATTGCAAAGAGAGATTTAGTGAAATGTTGTGTAGCTAGAGTCTTCTGCTCACCTCTGGAGTCCCACTGTGGTTTGGCAGGAGCCTGGGACTCCTTCTAAATGTCCTCAGCTCAGCCGAGAGGCCACCAGAGGGCGCCACAAGCAGTTCGTGGGACTGGCTTCAGCTGCGTCCAGAATCTGTTGGTGGCTTTGACCTCAGGTTGCTGGATCCTGAGGATGGCTGGGCTGGGGCTGAATAGCTTTGTTGAGGGATGAAGGGGGTGGAGATAGCTGTCCGCAGGAGGGGAACTGGCTGGAAATCTGCCCTGTAAGATCTGGGCAGCCTGAGGTGAGTTCCTAGAGCCCCTAGCCCTTGGGCAGTGGAATACAGGGTCATGGCCCAATGGCCTTAACAGGGGACTGGGGGAGAGATCAATAGCCCTTCTTCACTGCCCATGCAGGCCAGCAGTTTGTAGTAAGCACTCATTGATGTTTGTGACTAGGTTTGAGTGTCTCTTCTTTTTCAGTAGGTGAGGAGGCACTGGACCCCCTGAACAGCCACTTCATGATGGACAGAGAGATCTGGACCTGGCCTCCCCCCAGCTCTTACAGTGTGTAATTTGGGCAGCTCAGGCCCAATGGGAAAGGGTATGACATTCAGTTGCTACCAAAAAAAGTGTGTTTTCCTTCCAGGGGCATCCAAGCCCTCAGAGGGTCTCAGAGGTGCTCACTGGACTTGCTGACTGTGAGTGCCTTGTGTTGTCTGCATCTGCTCCAGGCCCTGAGAATCCTTTACGTCTTCTGGGTTTGTTTTTTTTTTTTTTTTGGGGGGGGGACAGGAGGAACAAAGCCTGTCCTGTATTTGTTATGAATCATTACTTTGAAGGTTTGTGTGGGTCCCATCTGTGGACAAGGAGCTGCCTGGGAGCTATGTTCCAGGTTGCCCCTGAGCCACTCTGGCTGGGGGCAGAACTCCCAAAGACACTCCCTGTCTTCACTCACCTTGTCTGGGGGCTGACACCTTTTATGGGGCTCTTCTCTGTACATTGGCCAGGGTCAGCCTGTCTCTAACCCCCAGGATTTGTGACCCTTTTCATTCCCAGGGAAGACATCCCAGCACCCTTCCCCCAAGATTCATCTTGGCCTGGGGCCATCTTTGTTCTGCCTCTCCTCCCCACCTAAGTCTGCTGTATCCTAGATCTTAGCCAGGAAAGTAGCAGAATCATCCAGGGCTTAAGGTCTTGGTCCCAGGAGTGTGGCCTCTGCTACTGGTCTCTAAGCCACACCAAGTATCAAAGGAACAGTGGAACCATCTCTGGATGGGAAGGGCCCTCAGAGACTGGCTTGTCCAACCCTCTCATTTTACAGAGGGGGAAACTGAGGCCTGGGCAGAGGAAGTGTCACAGCACTGGGAAAGACTCCAAAGGTGAGGAGATGGTGACAACTGGTCAAGAGAAGGAAGAATAGAAACACACAGAAACACATTTCACTCAACAGGGAAATAGGAGGGAATGGAGTGAAGGGTGAGGGGGAATTGGAGCAAGCATTGATTAAGAGGTATTAACCCCTTGGGGAGCTTGGGGAGCTTACCTCAGGTTGCCATAGATCTTATAGGGCAGATTTCCAGGACTTGGTCCTGAACCTGGGGACCTCTGATTGGATCTCAGCTCCAATCCCTTTATTGTAAGCATTACCAGGGAGAGCTTCTCAATTTCTCTGAGGCTCAGTTCACCACTCTGGGAAATGGGGATGAGCATTATTTCTTTAGTACCTCAGTTTACTCCTCTGAGAAATGGGGCTAGGTATTATTCCTTCAGTACCTACCTGGTGTGCACACAGGGCATTACCATTATCATTACCTAAGGCAAACTCCATAGTTCCTTCCCTACACCCTCCTGTAATACATCATACCTCCCAACCTGGTACTAATGAACACAAAGGCCATACTCCCTGGGGAGGGCCACAGGTGTGCAAGGATGGAGGAAACACCTGCTGAAGGCCCCAGGGGTCTGAGCCTCTCAGGTCTGATCTCCCACTCCTGAGTGTGGCTTGTACTTAAGCCACTGACTCTCAGCTCTGTTGCTCTGGCAGCCTCAAGGGGTCCCATAAAGGGAGACCCCTGCCCCACTAGACTTTCCACCACCCTCAGTCCCTCTGGTCTGGGTCAATCAAAGGCAGAAGGGAGCCAAGGCTGTGAGGATCCGGGCAGCTGCATCACACATGGGCCAGAAGGTTGGGCCCAAGTTAGATTCCTGAGAACTATGCAAAACGGCTCCCAAAATAGCCCAACAAACTGTCTTATGACTCCATCGCCCACTGCCAAGGCCCAGCTGGAGGCGTCCTGTCCCTGCATGGTCAAGGCCAGGAGTGACCTGCTTCCCAGGGCCAAAAGCCTTAGATTTGGAACCAGGAAGAACCAGTTTCAAGTCCTACCTTTGCTGCATCTAACAGTGTGACCTTGGGCCAACCACAGCACATCTCCATTGCAGCCTCAGGGCTGTTCTAAAGCTCTCAGGAGAAACAACCAGGAAGGCAGACGCTAGTGGCGCAGTGGAGAGAGCGCTACCTCTAGCACTTTCTAGCTGTGTGACCCTGGACAAGTCACACCTCATACCTATGTCAGTTTCCTGGTCCATAAAATGAAGATTGTAATAGCCTTTATCTCCCAAGGTTGTGAGGATCAAATGAGATATATTTATAAAGGGTTTCAGGCAGTACCTGCCACATAGTAAATGTTAGCTATTAGACCTATGCAGAAAAATCCAAGATACACGAAGGTCATTCAATCCTACGCAAGGCAGTTTGGAGGCATCAGGCAAGTCTTCCCATGGATTGGAAGCTCCTTCTTGAGCTGCATCTGGAAGGAAGTGAGCAATTCTGCAAAGAGGGAAGGAGTAAGGGCACGCCAGGCATGGCGGGGCCAGAGCAGAGATGCTGAAGACGGTCTGAGTACCACGTGTGAAAAGCAGGGGGAAGCCCAGCTGGGACGGTCACTGAGCGTGGGAAGGAGAGTGTCACCCAGAGCCTGGACAGAGAAGCTGGTCTGGGTGGTGGAGGGCTCTGAAGTCGGAGGAGCCGATAGTTGATGGAGAAGCGCCGCGGTTTATCGAGGAAGAGAATGATTCCGTCAGGCTTTCACTCAAGGAAAACTTCATCGACAATTGGGCTGAAGAGTGGGCTAGAGCAGAGACAGGAAGATCTTGAGGTGGGCAGGAAAACCTAGGCTAGCCACGTGCTAGAGACAGAGGAAAGGAAGTTGATTTACGAGTGGGCGGGGCCGGAGGGAAGGGCAGTGACCTTGCCTGCCGTGACTTGATGGCCTGTGGAGGAATCCTGGGATTTAGGCAGGGCGCCACCCGGTGGGAGTGGGTGGCCTGCCTTCACCCCCAGCTACAGTTGGATGTAGTTGGATGTAGAAGCAGCCTTTGACTGACATCTGGATTCTCATGACAACCCAAGCATGCTCTGAGGCATGTTCGCTCTGCAGAGGCTGCCTCTCCTCTTCCACCCGGAGAACCCTGGGTAGCCCTGAGGGGTCGGGGTGATTCTCTAACGCCACAGTCTCAAGTCCCCAGCTGCATGCGTACTACAAGGCCAGGAAGGATGGTCAGCTATGAGCGACTCAGCTCTTCCCAACAACACGATGATCCAAGACACAGACTCCCAAAGGAAAACGCGATGCCCATCCAGACAAAGAACCGACGCACTCTGAATGCAGATCGAAGCATTTCTTTTCACTTCATTCTTTCTCGTGGTTTTAAAGAAATCTATCTCTTCTTTCAATGTGACCAACATGGAAATATTGTTTCACATGACAGTATAAGTATAAACCATATCAAACTGCCTAGTTTTCCAGAAGATGGGAGGGGAGGAAGGGAGGGAGGGACAAAATTTGGAACTCAAAATCATGCAAAAATGAATGCTAAAAATTTCCTTGACATGTATGGGGAAAAAATAAAATACCATTAAACTTTTACATTTTAATTTTAAATTTTAAAAAATAAATGAAGCTGAATTTAGGTTACATTAAATGAAAGAAAGCCACATTTATCAGCAATGCTAATCAGCTTTCCTAGTGCCTACTCACAATTCTTTGCAATAAGAAGCTCAACTCCAAGTCCAGTTTTAAGTGATTGCATAGAGTTTCCTCCACGTGGGCCCCACCCCCGGATGGGTCTCCCTTCCCTCCGCTCTGGCCCCACCCAGCCCAGACCTGTGGAAGGCCTCAGGGTCCCTCAGAGGTGTCAGCAGGGACGCTGCCACACCAGACGGCATCTGATCAGACCGCAGTGCTTGTTTGCTGTACGTCAACTTTGCTGACACTTGTCTGGGCTTGGCTGAAGTCTCCTGATCATGGGAAGACTGCAGCCTCAGCTAACCTTGTCCACCCTGTGGAACGTTTGGTCCTTTGGGCCTTGGCACCTCCCAGGGCCAAACCCCGGAGACCACAATGGGGACTTGGTGCTATTTTTCCTGTGGCTCCCAAGGGCAGGAGCACCCTAGTCCCACCTTCCCTCCAGTCTGCAGACTTTCTTGGCCTGCTGGAGGGACCACACACAAGCATCTCCTTTCCCCTGGCTGGAGGGGGGTGGGATCTGCAGCCCAGCAGGAACAGAGCAGGGAGAGGAGGGAAAGTCCTGGGCCAAGACCACCCTGGCTCCTCCAAACCCAGGCTCATCTGGGCCTCAAGGTTACCTGGCTCCCCTAATCTACCTGCAGGCTCAGCTGTTTCTGGGCACAGCCCAATGACCCCGAAGGCCAAGCATGGGCCAGACTTAGAGGCTGTTTGTATACACATGAAGATAAGTCTCCCGGTGCCCCTTGTTTGAGGCCCCCAATGGATAGGGGCTTCCGTTATTTGCAAGGCAGGGGAGTGAGCATCTCCCGGGAGACATTGAAGTGGACCTTCACCCAGCTGTAATGGCTTCATTAAAAAGCCACTCTTGCTCAGTCTTATCTGGGTGAGAGCTCCAGCTTATCAAATGGTACTGGCCCAGAATTTCATAAATGGTGTTTTCATCCCCGAAGAGGATGGGGTGGGGATGGAGAGCACCTGGTCTGACCTGGGAAATGCCTGAGAGTTTCTGAGGAAGATCTGGGCCCCATAGTGGGATCACCTGGAGGAAACCCTTGGCCATCCTGGGATCTGGGGGTGGGGAAGAACTATAAACCCTGAGGAGGCCGTGAGGACCTCCCCATTGAAGAAAAAAGATAAACTTGAGAAAATCAGAGAGGCCTGGCTTAAAATCACAAGTCAGAGGACACCAGCAGCCACAAGGCAGAGCCATTCCCAGGCAAACTCCAGACCCCAGCTGGTTGTCCCTCCACAAATCCTCCTCTCCTGCCAGGCTCACCGTCCAGTACAGAAGGCCAGAGTGGAAGCAATGAGGGAGCAGAAGCCAGGGTCTGGGGCTTCCTCATCTGGAAGCAGGACTTGACATCTATCCTTCAGTGTCCCCCGTTCTTCCCTAGGCAGGCCTAGGAGTGGTCGGGGTGTCTTACCAGCCTCTGTCAGGATTCTGTCTTCTTCTGGACAAACCCTGATGTCTAAGACGAGCTCCTCTTTGCTCTGCCCACACCCTTCCTGTGCTATTGGTGTCTCTTTTCTCAGCCCCTTAGGGAAGCATCTGGGAACTGGGCAAAGATCTGGCTAGGGTACCAAAGACCTAAGTTCACATCCCACCTCATGCACTGACTTACTAGCTGTGTGTCCCTGGGCAAGTCTCTTGACTGCTCTGTGCCTCAGTTTCCTCACCTGTAAAATGAAGGGATTGGACCTGCCTCCAACTCATGTGTAACTGAATTATTACCTCTTCCCATTCCAGCA